CAGTTTACCACAATAGCACTATGATATACTTCAAAAGAACAGATGCAAGGCGGACACCGTGTTATGCACTCAATCCGCCACTGTCATGCTTTGTTTTTGTGACCACCTGATGTTTCGCTGTCATTTTAGGATCTGTCTGACCCTTGTACACGTGGGCTGACCTTCAAGTCATTCTCAAGCTTATTTGGAAATCTGGGGCCGCTATAGCCACAATCACAACAGATGTCAAAAGTTACAATATCAAGGACACTTGTGAATTAATTGTATTGTGTTTTAAGCTTATTTACGGCTGTGCATCTGTTGAATGACGAGGCTCTATGCAGTCATTTTATGTTAAAATTCTGCTAATTTTTTTGCTCCTCTTTTTAAACTGGTTTTAATAGCTTTGGCTGTCTTTCATATCAAATTTTGAAGTTTTACTTCTCCGTCTTTGCAGTCCGTTGATAGTGGCATTTTGTGGTCCTTTGAAAAGGTAGCCTATTTGGCAAATTTGACGCAAATTCTTTTTATGCTCTGAATTCCATCAGGCAAACAAATGACGAATATATTAATAAAGCATTTTATTTAAAATCTCTTAAAGATTTTCTCAATTAATTCGTGCTCAAACTCTAAATATTGAATTAGTTTATAAGACGCGTAAGGATAATAATTGGTGGAATGAGATTGATGGCCGATGTTTGGAATTAGATTTCCGATAATGCTTGTCGCCAAATATTTTCGTCGTAGAATCTGTGGCGGGGGATATGAGGTGGAGTTGTGATGCCCTTCTCTACTCCTGCCATATTTGTCAGATCGTAGTCCTTACGCGTTGGGACCACCGGTCTTGGTACATTTTCCGCGATCTCGGTCCCTGCTGAAACGGGGACGGGAGTTGTAGGCTGTTTGACAAGGCGTTTCTCCTCTATTACCAACATAATGCGGATAATATCACGCAGTTTATGCTTCTCCAGCAATCCTGTAATCACCCTCTGTTCCATGATGGTGAATTCCGATGGGGGTTGACTCATGGGCACTGCGAGTACGATGGCAGCGATTGAAAGAAGGCCAATGCAGGAGAGATGGTACATCTTTTGATTTTAACCTCCTGAGTGGTACCGTTTATGGTTCTTTTATATACTATTTTGCACTAATTTCGACCTTTGGACGGAGGAGTAAGTGGACTATGTGCATTTAAAAAGGGGAATGAGCAAGGTTCATTTGTGCTTGAATGGCACAATCAGGTATGCGGCACCGACGCCGCAAGGGGGTCTCCATCGAACTGGTTGTTCATCCTAACCGAATCAGCACAGCGCAAAGTGTATGCGGACTTTTTACTAATAAAACATGAAGTTACCCATCTATCAAAAGTGTGGGGACAGCATCCTGTGCTTTGTATGTTAGCCATTCTTTCATTAAAGGTGGTCCTTATTTACGACTGTAGTTTCATATTTGTCGGCGAATTGTGTTCTGAGGGATGCACATAAGTCAAGCTTTTCCATGGTTTCTTTTATAACGAGGAACATATTCTGACGGTGCTATCAAAAATCACCTTTTTGATTTTGTATAACTTCTCTTGCCTTTCATCACAGCCGAATGCCGCAAAAGAGGGAATACTTCTAAAATTATCAAACTATATAGTCGCTCAAAATTGGACCCTTAAGATTCTCAAAATTTTGGCAAGAAAGTCACGTCTTACCGGACACTTATTCTTTGTTGCAGACTATTTCAACTGTGGGCAAGAGGGGTTACCGCGATATCTAGGAAGGACTGCTGAATTTTTAATTTCTTAACACAAAATTCTATCCAGACAGTCGTTCTCGTTCGCAGCCGTAAAGTAGACTTTAGGCCTTTCGTCTTCATCCTTAGCTCACTTCCACAGTTCTACTTAGCAAAGATGGTGTTGGTAATGGCAGTCCGATGTTGTGTTCATTTGTGTCTAGTTTCGTACCCAATAACCCAGCGATAGCATGTCTATCTACGTCTTGTGTGCAAAATGATAAACGAAGTCATTTTAACTCAAATTCTGGATAACGGAAGAATTTATCATGCGACTATTGGCGCAGTAGAGCGAAGTGGCTAATGATTTCAGGACAGAAAAGGCGGACGAATCCGTGCTAGCACTGAATATTTTTGGGATTTTGAACAGCGTTACTTATCAAATCCAACTGCCAGTGGTATCGAGTGACGCGAAACCTATTTTCACCCATTGAATACCAGCAAATAACGGTGCATTAAGATGAATTCTGTTGAACTGGGGGTGTTTCTATAATTGTCTTAATTACATAACCATTATATGCCCGAAAGTTGATGCTTCTATGAAAGGAAATACATTGCAAACTTAGGGAACTGTCAAACCAAAATTCTTGCACGTAAAAAGTGATAATCTCAGCTGCTGATTTATTTATAAGTAGGCTGAATTTTCATTTTTATGAAATGAGGATTTATTCAGACACATCATATCTCCAGCATGGTCATTGGTTATAAGTTTGCATTTTTGTTAAAGGAAAATACGGAATAAAGCATTGGCCGAAGGCGAATACGGCGGCACCGCACTACCTCATTACTTTACTGTAATTAAAAAATTAATGCAGATTGACTCCGCTGTTGCGTAAATACGTAACTGGAAACGTTGCTCTACCCAAAGCTAAAACTTCATCGGCTGATTTCCTCTATTGAGGGGCGGCTTTTGTCACAAAAAGCTAAAAAATAATTAATTCCTATTTCAAATTACAAAATGAAGGTTTCATGTCATTTACTTTAATTTCGGCAGCTAAAAGAATGCTACAACTACTACCTGCGCTGAAACTCAGCGTTTTTATCCAAATACAAGAGGAAATTGTAAGCGTAGAGGAAGAGATTGTGCTACTTGCACAAACTTAGTAAGCGCCCTAATTTTAATGCATTATACATGACCTTTTAAAACACCAAATTCTTTGGGCTTGTAAGCAGATGTGCCCTGATGAAAGTAACGCCCTTATCTTGTCAACCTGAAAATGCGATCTGTCTGTCGTACCCACATTGCCTTAAGTAGCTTTACTATTCTGAATAATAAGCTGTAACGAAATTAAAGCTCATTAGTATATTTTATGACGTCTTCCCCGTCCGTACCTGTCCCTCCTTCAAAGGCTTAAACAAGACTGGGAGGTTCATTCGAGTTTAAGGCCAAATTTTACAAAGGGGTCATATTGGACTGGTGATACCATCTCTACTTCTTTGATGCTCGATATCTACCAAATCCATGAACTTTTTTACCATAAAGGGGGTGTGTAAGTTTCCTGCTAGAGATTATCTTATTACCAAACTATACACGAAATGGAATCGAAATAAATCTTAAGAACGCTTGGCATCACATCGACAAGTAGTGACTGCCATGACAGAGACCACGAGGCTGGAGGTCCAAGCGATGACAGCAAGGAGGTAGGACCAGTCCTCACCCAGAATGGCGACGTACACCAGCACTCCAATGATGCTGAATGCGGTGCCAAAGTAAAGGGTAAGGAGGTAGAGCAACCCCACACCCCGCTGACCAATCAGCTCCTCGTGGCTGCAGAAGCGCAATAGGCCGAGAATGAAGGCAGCAGCCCAAAGCACCACGCCGGTGATGAGGAGGGCTGCGCAAGTCTGTGCCGTCGTCGTGCTCTGTAGCCCCTCGTACTGAAGTAGGTTCCCGCCACGCCAGTGATTAAAGCACACCGCCAATATCATGAGGCAGAGAGCGAGACCTAACAGCAGCGATGAAGTACTTAGAGTCACTGGCGCCATAGTGACTGACTTTGATGAACTGGACCGAATTCAGTTACACTGAGTACAACAATGAAAAGATGAAATGAAAGGATGCCGATTGGACAAATGTGTGTGACATTAGTTCCACTGATTTTTAAGACCTTGCGATTAATTCTACTGTAGGCAAACCTTCCGTCTGTCTCACTAGTGCTAGAAAAGTAATAATGCTATGTATGGTGCAGTCGTAGGAGCGCTTTACTAATATTGGACTTTAGAATAATGAAGGGCTCTGATGACCATCTCCACACTGATTTTGCACGTGTCACGATCACAGCACAATGAACATTTATCTCCCTCTATTCCTGCTTTTGAGCCTTTTTAAGAGCCCAGTTCATTGCATTTGTCTCCATAACTAGTTTAACCACATGGATAAGGTATAGCAAAGTTTTTGTTCTGTAGACAACCTCTGAAGTGGTCGCTCAAGGTGGGTTTTCGATTTTCTCAATCACTCAGGGATGGTAAATGAAGAGCCTACAAAAAGCAGCCTTCTGCATAAAGCCAACGAATAAACCTTAGCACATTTGAAATTTGAAATTCTTAAGAGCTGTAGAAAGAGACCTACGCTGTGCAGGTACGTCAGTCTCTCACACGAATGATGCTTAACGCGAGTATTGAACTCATGCGAGTCCACATGATGGTGCCTTCACACGGACCAATCAGCCTCCCGCCATCGTCAGTGTGATTAACCAACATTTTGTCGTGCCGTCCCTCGCTAAACAGAAACACAAACTCAGCCACTCATTCACTTACCCTCGCATACATACGGGCAGGGAGCCAAAGGGAAACTTATATGGCACAGAAATTGGTGGAAGTTAGTCGTCTGCCCGTTGTTCTTTTGAGCCTCGCCTTTATCCTCTCCGCGATTGCGGTGGGAACGCCATTCTGGCAAGGAAAGAGTCTGTTCGCCTCTCAGAATTTGCACTGGGAGCAATTGTGCACGGCAGTGGGAGCCCTTCTGATCATTGGCTGCATTGGCATGGGTCTGGCTTTCCTTCTCGGCATCTACTGGACCATCTATCCGGACACTGTAGGGCCTGTACTCTTGGCCTTCTACATCACCCTCTATGTGGGTGCAATAGCACTGAGCATCGCAGTCCTCGTCTTTACTACCATGATCACGAGGACGTGGTCATTTTTCATGGCCATTATGGCCTGCTTCTTTGCAGTTCTTGTTATTTGGGTAGATCTACCGCTGCTCTCAGTTACTCCATTGCCATGGAAAGGTCGGCAGGTTCCTGCCAGTCTGTAGTTTGTACAGCCCTTTTGTGTGTAAATACGTAATTAAATTTTTCACAAAAAGACGTTTTTCTCATACATTACATTTAGCTACTCGGTCTATTGGTGGTTCCATTACAAAGCTACCTTTTTAATTTTTGCATGTATTTAGAAAAAATTGCAGCTGCTAATTGCAACCTTTAAGTAAGTCAGAGATAATTTCTTGAATCAATCTGTTAAAAGTGGACTCAGCCTTGGCTTCATGCTCGCGTTGCTGGCGGTTTTCGGGTGCGGCAGACGTCTGATAAGCCTCTTTAGGACTTGAGAAATCTAGCTAACAATGGTGGGAGTCCTGTTCGTTAGTTCCTCTTTAAAAAATGCACAATTTCTATGCAGTCGAGAAGTTGAGCTCACGAGAATTCGAACATGTACAGTACGTGGTAAAAATTGATATCCACTAGTGTGATCTCCACCTCCATTACTTTGGCTCGCTTCAAGTAATGAAACCCACGCTTCCTACGGCATGACGATACGTACACACAAACGCAGAGGAGACAGCGACACTACTTCAGCACCAACAATGAGGCAAATTATAATTTAAAATCACAAGTAGAATCAAAACTGTGTACGTGTGGTAATTGCAACAAATTTATGCTGAAGGCATGAAAAAAGAAACCGTATCAACGTTCCCAACTTGAATTTGAGTATGCGTTTGTTAGTTTATTTCAAAGCAGACACATAAATTCGCCAGCATAAGGCCTCAGCCTTGAGAGATGCAACTCCATGCGTTATTAATGACGTTGCTTTGAAGCTAAACGCGCCCCTTTCACTAACTTCCGAGGGTCAGAATTGTTTGCACAATCTACAAGGATGAACTTAAAACTCATGTCTAACTTAGTACCGGCGATGAAACTTTAACTACCAGTGCTGCCAAAACCGACACCTACGATATTTGACAGCTGTCCTACGTGACACCTGGACCGAATTTTCGCCTATGCGGTAGCTTGTTTTGTCAACATCTGGAACCAGATCTTATAGCTATTACGGAGCTGATGATAAAAGTAACAAGTTGCTAAAAAGTGGAGCTTAATGTCTTTTATTTTACGCTGGTCCAAACCAGTGCTCAAAATTCTTGACACAAAGTGCCTCCTTCTTTAGCCACCAGAGCACCTTCCAACTTGATTGTGGCCACAGGACGTCTCTTGCCATCCCGTATAGCAGGGTCGACACTGAAAAAGAAAGGGGCATTTTTCAAAGCGGTGCCTCCCCAATTTTATTGCCTACGTCCAAAAAAGGCAATAAGTGTCGAATCACAAATTGGGCACAGTGATTAACGAAAATTCACCTTCAAGTAACCCCAAGCGATCACTTGTGGAAGCCGATAAAGTTAAGACAAAATTGTTTTAGGTTTTGGGACAAGACTTACGTGAGGTTATGCCTGCTGTTGATTATGAGAAGGCTGTTGGGTTCTGACATAATCTTTTCATTAACTGACAAATTTTCCAGGTACCGAGCAATCAAAGCTTTCAAATGACGGTTTTCTACTTCCAAAATTTGATGCTCTTTAAGTAAAGCCAACTTTTCCAGTTGAACTTTGCTAAAGCGGCGCCAAAATGTGTCAAGCGGTTCATAGAGCTTTAGCATCTAGGAGGAGATTGACAAAGCGGACCATTTATCAAGAATAGCGAGTTGAATAACCAGCCTAATTTCTTATTGCCTCTTGCTTTTAAAGGAAAAAACAGCAGTTTAAACCTCTATTTCAGTTTTTTCACAGAATAGGAGCCTTGAATGATAGTCTACATTTATGTGGAATGCAGTTTGTCATTATTACATTAAATTCATTCATATGTACAATGAGATTGAGCCTAATTTTCCATCCCGAATAAATGAATGGTCTTAGGTGACTAGGTTCGATAAGGTGTGCAATCAAATTGAGTGTATGAACTCATTTACACCTACCTATAATAATGATAATATTGCCTTGCTATAACAAACATGCTGGTACTTAATAAAATTAACCGTTTCTGCAGCTAAGATGGAAGATCTACCCACTGCTTTAATTTCCGCATCTTCTTCAGCGTCACATCTATCCGCAAGTTCTCTCTCATCCTCCTGAGTCAGACAGGAGACGTAAAAAGGGAGAACTTTTTCTTCCTCCGACTCCAAGTGGCGGCACTTCTCCCCAAGTCCAATTATTATGTTGGCCTGCTTAACCATCTCACTTAGGGCGTTGTGAACCGAGTTGCTCACATTAACCATATCCGTCAGTTTCATTAGTTGTCGATCACGTAGCTCATTTATTTGACGCTTAAGATCAAGAAAGTGAGCCGATAGACGCTCGCGTTCATCACCAAGTAGGCGGTTTTTTTCTTTGTACTCCTCCTGGATCTTCCCCAGATGGGTTTTCAATGCGACGATTTTGAAACTGACCGTTTTTAAATGTGACATTTGATATTCAATATCTTTAAGAGATTGGTCATTGCGTTTTTTGAGCACCTCGTAGTAGGATCGACGCTCTTCTGTGGCCTTGAGGTAATTTGTTTTAAGTGTGGTAAATTCTCCCCAAAGAGCATTCACCTTCTTCTCAAGCGCCATCCGCAAAGCATGCTTGTTTTCGATTGCCTGTTATTGAATGTTACTTATGTTGGTTAGTAGAGTAATAGGCTTTGAAAAAGGTCAGCCAATCATTTGTAGGGGGTTGGCAAAAGTGCATTTCTAGAGTCGGGGTGTTGCAATTCACTGAGAACGTCTATGTTCTTGTAAGTAATTGGTTCGTATATAATCAAGTAAAGTCTTAACTCGTTCATTTGTTGTGGCATGAGATAAGATGTAAAATCCTACGTGATGATACACATGTATCTGTTCTCCAGGTAAAGTGTGATGTGGCAGTTAGAATGCACTCCTGCACCACTGTATCCGACATCAACACATTTGCCATCGCATCTATATAATGCATGGTATACCGTCGCAAAAAATGGATAAAGATGCTCTGAAATGCAGGTTATTTTGGTTTAAGTTTGTCCCCGCAAGGTGGAGGAGAAGCTAAGTTCTTAAATAGGATAAATGCCTTACATTTGGTTTGTCCTCGTTAAATATAAAAGAATAAGTATGATTCAAAACCAATGTAATGAACATTAATTAAACTTAGGTAAAGGAAGCATAAACTCTATTCTGAAAAAAGTGTGTACCTTATTTTTCATCTCGTCCCGGATGCTGCCATACTCACTCCTGGCGATTTGCTCCTTTTGTAAAAAATACTTATCAAAGGCTACATATGTGTCTTTCAGTTCGTCTATCTGCTGCCGATGGCGTGTCACCATGTACGTTTTCTCTATCTTAATCTATATGTCAGCAATCATAGTGTACCTGCATCATATTCTCTCCTCATCATCGCAAGCTCTTCTTCAAACGAGTTTTTAACACGTTCCAGACGCTGGTTTTGAACTTCTGCATAGTAAAACACATGTCATTCATTTGTGATTAGAATAAGAGGATAACATTTATGATTTCCAAAATGTGGGGTGGTGAAAGCTTTAAAGAATGGTGGGTTCAGTCACACGAGTGCCAATATACTTCAACTTCAGGTCTGCTTATATCAAAAAACGCGACTGTATCTTCTTGAGCAAGAGCGAATAAAATGAATATGCGGAACAATCAAGATACTCATATATTGTACAAACCTACAAACAAGTCCATATTGCGCAGATGATCACGCAAAGACATCATATACTGTTCTTCAGATTGAGCTAACTCAATGTCCAGTGTTCTTAGTATTTGATCTTTTCTTGAAGAAAGACAATGTATCTGTGCATATAACCCTACCTATCTTTAACTCGCTCGAATGTACTTTTCAATATCTGCAAATCTTTTTTCATTTCCTTCGACTTAGCTTCACGCAGCAAAATTCTCCACTGATGGTTAACCTTATAATTATTTAGCTTTGTCATTTTTTCTTCCTTCTCTAGTTTGTTCTAGAATGCTATTTTTGTGACTAATACAAACTTTAAGGTAATGCTGTAATAACTCATTCTTCTTTTTTGCCGCAGATGCAGCTGCCAGTCGTTGCTTTTCCAAATGCGCTGCCTTCTCTAGTTCTGTCATATCTTTCAACTTTTTCCTAGCCATTTTAACACAGTCCAAACGTGACCTTCACTTCAAAATGTGGCATGAATTAATCTCTATGCAACGGAATAGACGAACGAAGAAAAGGCCTTGCATAATATTGTAAGATTTTGTTGCTAACACTTTTGTTTTATACATGACATACTTCTTATTGCTGCTAGAAATAAAAATGAAATCGGCATATTAGGAGACAGGTAAAAATTTCGGGAAAGAAATTTCGGATTTCAGACTCACGTTAAAACCAAAAATAGAGAATGACTAACCTCTAATGATGTGCTGGAAGCATTCTGAAAACGTTCTACCTGTTGTCTGAATGATGAAATTGGTTTAATTTTGCCGTAACAAAGGTGGGTACACATGTAAAAATACATACTATCGACGAAAAGAAAAAGCCTGAAGTCATTGATTTTAGCTGAAAGCCGCTCCTGGAGGTGAATGTGTTCTGGCGAGATCCCTAAGTTTTTTTTGACAAATCATAAAACGGTATGTACTTTCCTGTTAAATCCTTATCCAGTTTTGGTCGCCATCGAAAATTAGCCATGGGCAAAAATACCTACCACCAAACTGAAAGGAAGTGTGTATGGTTAATGAAACGCAGAGGTCATCCACTTTTCCTCTAGCAAATTTAAGCTTTGACCAAATAACCGACTTACATAATTATAAGTAATACAATTAGTATGATGTCGGCCTTTACAAATGAAGCGGTTATTGAGAAGTTACCCGTTGCATGTTAATATGCATGATTTTGTGCGACATGAATTAGACCTTTTCCATTGTGATGCACGAGCGGTGCATTCCAGAGGAAAAGATTTTATCTTTGATCGCCATCCATTGTTATTTGAATTAACAAGCTTTTTCTTGAGTTCAATTGGTTTTATGTTTCCAGTGGTGACTGTAAACTGCAGGTTTGAAAAGATATTTCTTACAGAAGTTTTGTGTCGCTTGGTTGACAGTGGAGTTTTGCTAATAAGTTTCTCCTCTGGGAAGCTGGTGTCGCTTTTCCGGCTCGAGGTTGGCTACCTTGCCAACGTCTATCCGTGTACATAAAGTGCTTTAGGCTAGGCGTTTTAATGAGGTCAGAACTGCCATTAAAAACGAGGAAGCAAGTGCCTGTTCTTGTACTTCTTAAATAAAAATGAATTTAAATATGGTCTTCTTTTAAAAGCACTCTGCTTATGTGAGGGTTGTATGATTAGCATTGATTTACAGAATTGTTGCTAAAACGTTGAGCAGGGAGTAAGCTGATGTAACAACTATATTTCATAACCTGGTCATTCATTTACGGTAAACAATCAAAACACAATGGCCACTGCAATCGTTTACCCCTCACTTTATGAATGTGGCACCAGCACTCTACACTAACCATTTTAAACTTTTTAGCTATCGCTTCCCTTTGGTTGTCCTAACTGCAGTGAATTTGTCCAAACTTGAATCGTTTGCAAAGTAAAAAAATGAGTACTTGTCTTTGCGATGTAGATAGTTTGAAAAGCATGAAAGGGACAAATTAGCTGGCAGTAGAGTTGTGTCCTTTGGCTTCAACACTTTTGCCATGGCATCTCAGGCGCCTCAGGATCACATTCCTTCTTCTTCTTTGAAAAAGGGAGAGGGTATTGTAATGCTTCATTTATGTAACCACCTGATGTCTGGTGGTTACACTGGCATGTGTCTGGTCCTTTTACGAGTGGGCTTAATCCCTTTTCTTTCCCTAGAACGCATAAACCCAGTCCATCTTAGTGCCTCCTCCCTCCTAGTGGGAGGTCTCGGGATGCTTCAGGGATGCTGCTGGGTTGCAATAAACTACTGCATCGAATGCAAAAGGATAGCAGTTGAATGCTGTCTCACTGATATGAATGACTGATGCATATACCGAGTTAAAATGAATGAATGTGTGGTGGAGGCACTTCATTTATCGCACGGCTTTAAAAGTCTTAACTGAAACCTTTTAGTGGCGTGACCGCACAATCGTGGCACCGCAAAGAGTAAAAAATGACGTGGGATCTTTACTCAGCTAGCCGCAACGTGGTGTAAGGAATTCTCGTTACTAAATCTGGTAGTGAACCCTCAGAGCAGTATAACACTAGACCAGCAGTTCGGAACAAGGTTTACAAACCACAATGTGCAAATCGTTGTACTCGCATTGTCAAATTACACTGTCAGCTGACGGACTAAGATCAAAGGAGAGTCGCCATTTATTAAAGTATTACTGCCACATCTTCGCTGCCATTAGTTTGGCATTTGTAAACTTTAGAAAATAATAGTCAACTTAGGCGCCAAGCTCCATGTTCATTAAAGCAAGAAAGGCTACATGTTGGCATGGTTACACGCCTACAAAATGACGTAGAGTAACAACAACACAGCTCCCTGACAGGTCTCGTCTCTTGATGGTTGCAGTACTTTAATTAGCTGCGTAACTGTGTTTTGGTTTTGCAGGCACTCAAGGCTCCGCCTGTCCTCCTCTGCTTTGCGATAAGGCCTTTCCTCGTGCCAGTACTTCCGCACGTCGAGGGTTACATTGGAGGCTGTGAGTGGTCGTATTCTCTCGCAAATGAACAAACAGTATTCTATATTTATACCAATAAAGTAGCTTGTAGGTGCAAATACACTTCGACATACGCAGAAATAAGTCAGTGCCTTGCTCTACTTATTTGTTAAGTACGTTAGTTGATTTAGCAAGTCAGTTGGTTAGACGGTCACCCTCCGGCTACAAATTCATGTATTGCAGCTCACCGAGACTTTTTAGAGATAAAGAAGCAATGTTTGTGTTTGATCCGCAGTGGACTTTGGAGCCGCTGGTCTGACCTCCCCAAGTGCTCATTTTGGAAACCTCTTCCAGTTTAAGTAAAAGGGTGGTGGCGCCGTCCATTCCAATAAAAACTCCTTCACACCCACCATCTACACACACGTGTACAAGTAGACTTGCGTGCTTGACCATGTGTCTGCAGCATGCACAGACTTCACCGTCGTCGCCGCTTTGGCGGATGGCGCCTGTCCGCGGACGTGGGCGGTTAAGTGCGCGTGTGCGCCGAGCCGTGCCGACGCTGTGCCGAGCTGTGCTGCAATTCCTTTAGGTCAACCAATGAGCAACAGCCCCGTCCGGCACTAGGTGATGGATCCATTTCGGCATAACAATTATGCTAACTCGGTGAGGACTGAAAAGAGCTTAGGTTCGTTGACCGATTTTTATCTTTTACCATCTCCTCTATTAATACTCCCTTTGAATGCACATAAATTGTATTATGATTGCTTTCAGCTATGTTTACGAGTGTTAAAATAATCGTCATGTCATTGAGGCTTCAAATGCATAATTGAGAAATCAACATTTCTGATAAGAGTAAAATAGCCACGTGTCTGTTTAGTTTCCTTGAGCTGCTGCGTCGATTTGGGTACCACAAACAGAGTTGGGGTGTGCATCCGCCTAACTTACTGGCAATATTTTTGCCCCTTTTTGTGTCTGCGTAATTTTCTTCCTTAAACTCACACATCGTTTGAATTGTAGTACGATTTTTCATTTCCTTCAGGACAATGGATTGGTAGAGCGTAAAAATATCCGCTGATTGTATTGACTTAGAAGGCGATAGCACTTATGGACCAGTGTCAAAACGAAGCAGCTAAAGGAGAGCATTCTCCATTGCTAGTTGCTTTAAAATTGGGAAGAGACCAGTTGCCATCCTCAAACCAATTTTCGACATTTAAAGCCGACAATAGCATGGATTATATGAGGCTGATTACCCGATTTAAAATACTTTTTATTCAGAAGTATCCTGCATTGCACCTTCAATGAGTAAATCATTCATCGTATTGGGAAGCTCTTTAAAAGAGCATTTCAGTTCAAAAAACATCCGTTTTCCTCTCTACATGGGAACCATGCTTAATGCCTTCTTTAGCTTGCATGTTCAGTCTCTTGTCACAGTCGCAGAAGAGAAGGCGTTCCTATTCTTCTTGAGCAGGTAGCGGCGAAAATCAAAACTTGTGCGCAAGTAATAGCTGTCTTCTCACCTTTCTACTCCTAAATCGGATTCATTTTGGTTGAACAAGCAAACACTAAATGGATTCACTTTCTCGAGTAGATGTACACACTGTTCCTCTAAGAGGATAAGCATTAAGATAACCTACGAAGCTTTTATGACTGCATCAAAAAGTTTTCCTTTTTGTCCTTCTCACACTCCGTTCAACTTGCCACTTATCGCGAAAGTGGCGTCGTCTCAGGCCTGGCGTCAGCACAATTAGGCCTCGGGCAGGAGATGGAAGGGGCAGGCTCACAAAAAGCCGCCTCACCAATCCCCCTCTCCATCTCACTCTCTCAAGCTTCCTGTGCACGTGTGTATATGAATACGTACATCCATAATTGACGGCAATTAGAAGCAACGACAACACAGACGTCGACGATTACTGTACCAGGAACAGGAGTAGTGGCAGACGCAGTAAAAGAAAGGTCAAAACAAAGTTGTCCCCTTCCACCACCACCAACCAATTTGCCTGGTGCCAAAACCGTTGTGTATGTGTGTGATAAGCGCTGCGGAGGCGGGATGGATTACATCCTCTATTTCTACTTCTTCACTCCTGCATTGCCCTCCCCCTCACATTCTCCTATCTTTTGTATCATGGTGGCGATCAGTCCCATTGGCGACTGCGATGCCTTTCGCCTTAATTTGGTGTGAAATTAATCAAAGTTTTTATTAGATCCAGGTAAAGCCTTGCCGCTGTAGGATTGACAGTTTTTGCTCTAGAACAAAGAATATACGTGGATGTAAATTTGTTCAAAATCTACAAATTATTGAGCTCAGTTTAAACGCACTGAAAGAATGGAAAGAAGCAATGACTTTGCTGCAGTGTGTCATTACTTCGTCTTTGAGTACGCATGATTATTTTGAAGAGACGACGTGTGCGACCGGGTCAGCTACTTAACTCACTGCCAATGTTCACGTTGCGTCCAACGTTTATCTATAAAAGGTTTAAAAAATTACTCATTCATTTCTCTATGGGATGACATCGTAAAATGTACG